GTTTAGGACTTGATAATTCTACGGCATTAAGAAAGTTGAGAAATACTTAAAAATAAGGATCCTATAGTGTCATAGATAATATAATGGTGCTCCTGTAAAAGTTATAAAGTTGATATATGAAAAGTAAAAAAAAAAAAAAATAATAATAATAATAATAATAATAATAATAATAATAATAATTAAAGTGTGGGCGGTTTTTGCGGGTTGCGGGTTTAAACTGCGACCCGCCCGCAACCCGCAAATTTGTCATATTTCAAACCGCATCCGCCCGCATTATGTTTGCGAAACCGCCTATTTATATGCGGGTTGGGCGGATTGGGCGGTTTGAGCGGTTCGGATAAACCGTTGCCCACCCCTAATGAGTAGTACCCACTTTCGGAAAGTAAGGCAAACTTATTTTGGGTAGTAGCATTAAAACATATTTATGATAATGTGTGAAATTTCAGGACTGTATTGGCGCGCTTGACGGCACACATGTGGAGGCACATCTCCCGCCTCAGGAGGCATCTCCATATTTTGGCCGTTAAGGACGGCACACGCGAAACATACTCGCAGCGCGTGATTTCGATTTATGTTTTACTTTTATATCTTGCGGATGGGAGGGAAGTATGCATGACAGTAGAGTTTTTAACGAAGTAACACAGGACCCAGCCAAACAATTCCCCATGCCAGAGGATGGTAGAATGAACGACACATTTTTTTTTGTCTGTATTAGTTGTGTGCATTTGATATTTCTAATCGACCACCGTACTAATGCGAAATTATCAACATGCAACCAAGAAAATATTACCTTGTTGACGCGGGGTACAAGAACCAAAAAGGGTTTTTGGCGCCGTTTAAGGGATGCCGGTACCACCAGGAAGTGTTTCGCGCAACAGGACGGCCAAAAAATGCAAACGAAATTTTCAACACGGTGCACTCCTCCTTACGGAGTGCAACTGAACGTACATTCGGCATATGGAAAGCGCGATGGGGATTCGTACATAACATGCCGCAATATGATTTCAAGAAAGTGCAGGTGCCATTGGTTGGGGCTTTAATGGCGATACATAATTTTATACGCCGCAACTAGAGCGACGATGAAGCATTGAACAAGGTTGCGAATACAGAGAATTTTACATTCAACGACATGCCAAATGTTGACGGTCTTGGTGACGATGATGATGGTGAACCAGAAGGCGACGATGACGTATATATGAACGAAGTGAGGAAATCAATACGAAATGAATTAGTGCGACATCGACGTGAACTTGGGTTGTAAATCCTGTTCGGTCTGTACGAGGTGATGGCAAATGAAATGAATGTGTAAAACTGTTGTATGTGTCAAAAAAATGTACGATTTTGTTGGTAAGTTGCAAGTTCTAAACGGCATTTACCAAATTGTAATGTAGAAATTAATTCATGTAAGAGCGCAATTTGTTGGGAAAAATTAAGAAAATAAATATGCCATTCAATAATAATAATAAAAATAATTAACAAAACTGTCATAATAATTTGAAAAAAGTTGCTACTGGTATTTTGGTCTTTTGCAATAATTGTTTGGATAATTTGGTAATTGTTAGTATTAAAAAAATAATACATTTACTAATAAACTTGTAATAATAATAAAAAAAATCGTAAAAAAGAGAATAATAAATTTGTAATAATTAAAAGTATTTGGTAAAATTTGAAAATTGTAGAATATATAAAAAATAATACATTTAGTAATAAACTTGTAATAATAAAAAAAATCGTAAAAAAGAGAATAATAAATTTTTAATAATTACAAGGGTTTGGTAAAATTTGGGAATTGTAGAATATATAAAAAATAATACATTTAGTAATAAACTTGTAATAATAAAAAAAAATCGTAAAAAAGAGAATAATAAATTTGTAATAATTAAAAGTATTTGGTAAATTTTGGAAATTGTAGAATATATAAAAAAAATAATACATTTACTAATAAACTTGTAATAATAATAAAAAAATCATAAAAAAGAGAATAATAAATTTGTAATAATTAAAAGTATTTGGTAAAATTTGGAAATTGTAGAATATGTAAAAAATAATACATTTAGTAATAAACTTGTAATAATAATAAAAAAAATCGTAAAAAAGAGAATAATAAATTTGTAATAATTAAAAGTATTTGGTAGAATTTGGAAATTGTAGAATTTATAAAAAAAAATAATACATTTAGTAATAAACTTGTTGTAAAAAAAAAATTCGTAACAAAAAAATAAAATAAAATTGTAATAAGTAAAAGTATTAGGTCAAATTTGGAAATTGTAGAATATATAAAAAAAGAGTAAAATTTGTTTCAAATTCCTGGTGGCAGTTACATTGGAAACACTGTTCACGTACTAAAGGGCATAATCGTAATTTCCAAAACAAGCATAAGGGTATTTTTGTCATTGTGCAGTGATTTGACACTTTTAAAAAATATTAAACCAAAAATCCAAAAAGTCAATTTTTTACCAACTTCCCAAATCATATCCAAAAAAGCCAAAAAATTTAATAAAAAGTCAAAAGTCAGCTTTTTACCAACTTACCAAAACAACCCTTAATTAAAAAAACTTGGCAAAAATAATGTGGCAATATCATTGTTGTAAATAAATATATTTTTAATGATATTTTATTTTGAAGTAAAAGGTCTATAATGAGTCAATAAAAATTATGTATAAATTTTTATTTATATAATATTACTCATATATATTAGATTCAAAATATGGGGAAGGAGAATCGATGAGCGGTTGTGAGCAAACTCGTAACAAGTGACATAGATAAGGATTAATAAAATTTTTTGGTTATGTTTGTTTAACGGATTAGATTGAATGATATTATTAGTGAGGGGATGGTTAGTGAAAAGATTATTAATGTAGAGATTGTTAGTGAGGAGATTAAATAAAATGTGTTTGTTTTGATAATAGTGAGAAAGATAGTTAGCCTCCGTTTGGGAAGTGGGTTGGCTTTTTGGCTTTTTAGCTTTTTTAGCTATTTTAGCCTGGGCTAAAAAGTTTGGTTTGGGAAGGACTTTTTGGCTTTTTGACTTTTTTGATTTTTTTGTGAGAGAAGAGTGTAATGATTATGTGTTGGATGTAATGTTTTGTTTGTTGTGGCTAAAATAGCCTGTTTTGTCTTTTGTGGCTATTTTAGCCCCAACCCAACTTGCCAAACACCACCTAAGGTGTTTGTTAAATTATTTTTATATAAAATAAAAATATATATTTCTATATTTAAAGAAAATTTTAAAACAAACATATATATATATATATTACAAATAATAGGTTGCATTGGATAAAAAAAAAATAAACTTAGGTAGCGTTTGGTAGAGTTTTGTAAATGTGATTTGAGAGTATGAGTTGTATTTTGAGTTTGTGTGTTGTGGAATTATGATTTGAGTGTAGAAAATTTGTTTGGTAAAGAGTTTTAAAAATAATTTTGAAAAGTGTTTTGATTTGAGTGGGAAATTATTGATGTGACATTTGATATGTGATATAAAAATTTACAACTCATAACTAAATATGCAACTCAAAATTATTTTAAAGCACATAAAAAATTTTAAAAATTTCAAAAAATATTTTTTTCGATTATATAAATCAATTGCAAAAAAAAATAAAAAAATTCACTATTCCGGTTAATCGGTCGGACGTCCCGTCAGGCAAAATTTTTTTTAAAAAAACACTGAAATGCACGACTGAGACAGAGCTCTCTGCAGAGCGTTTGAAACGTGCTCTCTGCAGAGCGTTTGAAACGTGATTTCAAAATACTAAACAAACATCATACTCAAACTATGGTGTAAAATCATGTTTTGAAATCATAATCAAACACAGCCTAACTTTTTTAGCTAAAAAAACTAAAAAACAAAAAAACTGACTTTTTTTTGCAACTTCCAAGACTACCTAATAACCTCTCAAGTTTTTCCTTCAATATTCCAATAAAAGGTAGGCCGGCAATGTAATATAGGGCTTCCTTTTGATAAACATCCATTGAACAGTTTTTTATATTTAGATTATGTATTTAAGTAAGAGAAGATAAGAGACAAGATAACAAGCTAAAACATGTATAATTTAGTCAAGTTTTTTTTTAATCCTTCGAAAGATTTAAATTTCATTTTCCCTTTTTAGAAACACATGTGGTGTAGGATAAAATAGGATAGAGGGACAACTCAATTCTATCACATTCATAAATAAGAAAATTTTATAAAATTAAGGGTAAATTAATTTTTTTTATCCTTATAATTTGACTTAAATTTTAATTTCATCCTTATATTTAAGTCAAGTTTTAATTTCGTCATTATGTCAAAGTTTCCATTAATTGTTTGTAGGTGTACACCATTTTAACTCCCGACTTGAATAAAGGATTAAATTGAAAATATACTTAGACCTAGTTTGAAAAAGTGAAATTTTAGCAAAAACAATATGAAAAAAAAAAAACATTATTTTCTCTATTTTTTTATATATCTTTTCATAAAAAATAAAAAATAACTAAAAAAGTCAATTCCCAAACACCCTCTTGAAATATAGGTATTAAATTATTCAATTTAAAATAATAGAGATCAAAAGTAAAAAAAAATTAGATAAAAAAATATATATGTTTGGTTTGTGTTTTAGAGATGTGTTTTAGAGATAAAAAGTACGAAAAGTTGTTTGGTTTGGTTTTTTTCAAAAGATGTTTTGAATTGAAAAAGTGAAATTTTAGCAAAAACAATATGAAAAAAAAAAAACATTATTTTCTCTATTTTTTTATATATCTTTTTATAAAAAATAAAAAAGTAACTTAAAAAAATTAATTCCCAAACACCCTCTTGAAATATAGGTATTAAATTATTCAATTTAAAATAATAGAGATCAAAAGTAAAAAAAATTTAGATAAAAAAATATAGAGGTTGAAAGTGTAATTTAGCCTTTACCAAACTCATACCTCAGTCAACTGAAAGATCCAACGGTCGTCATACACCTATCTGTCATGATCACATCTCCAATTGGCTCAAATCAAAAAACCGTTTGTTTCCCGGGAAATCCTCTGAACCCATTGTCCCGGAAAAAAAAACACAAAAAGCAACATTCTCCCCCCTACAATTCCTCCCCAATCCAACCTGTATCATCTCTCTCTCTCTCTATACATGGATTTTTCTCTCTAACCTATATTTCTTCAGCCCCGATTGCTCTGCTCCTCTACCTCTCCTTCCTCTCCCTGGGGCACCACTACCCTCCTCCGCCCTCCTCTCCAAATGGGTAACTGTTGCTCTCGCGGCAACAACGACTCCGATCCAATGAACACCGACAACACCACATCCAAGAAGGAGGGTTCTGCAAACCCTAACCCTGACCCCAACAACCCAGAAACCGCCGGAGCCACCGATCATCCCAAAACCACTCCTCCTTCCGCCTCCCCGAACCCCTCCACCAAACCCTCAAAGGCCGCGGCGATAGGACCGGTTCTAGGCCGTCCGATGGAAGACGTGAAATCGATCTACAGTGTTGGAAAGGAGCTGGGAAGGGGACAATTCGGAGTCACCCATTTGTGCACGAACAAGAGCACAGGTGAGCAATTCGCGTGCAAAACGATTGCGAAGAGGAAGCTGGTGAACAAGGAGGACATTGAGGATGTTAGGAGGGAGGTTCAGATTATGCATCACTTGACAGGACAACCCAATATTGTGGAATTGAAAGGGGCTTATGAGGATAAGCATTCTGTGCATTTGGTGATGGAATTGTGCGCCGGAGGAGAGCTTTTCGATCGGATTATTGCAAAGGGGCATTATACTGAACAGGCGGCTGCTTCGCTGTTGAGGACGATTGTGCAGATTGTGCATACTTGTCATTCAATGGGAGTCATTCATAGAGATCTTAAGCCTGAGAATTTCCTTTTGTTGAACAAGGATGAGAATTCGCCTCTCAAAGCTACCGATTTCGGGCTGTCTGTCTTCTATAAGCAAGGTCGGTTTTGGGTTTTGATTCTGATTCATTCATTCCCCTGTTTTGAAAGTGATTTTGTTTTCAATTTTATGTTTTTGTTTGAAACCAGTCATATATATGTGCAAATGAAATTGTTAGAAAAGTTGGGTTTGAAACATGATTTCTTGATCATCTATGAGTTTTGTAAGTTTACAATTTCTGTCTAATTTTGATTCATTCCCCTGTTTTGGAAGTGTTTTTGTTTTCAATTTATGTTTTTCTATGAACCATATATATATGTGTGTGTGTGTGTGCGCATATGAAATTGTTAGAAAAATGGTTATGAAACAGGATTTTTTGATTGCCTCTGAGTTTCGTAAGTGTACAGTTTCTGTCCGTCTGTATTCTACAAGCAAGGTCTGTTCATGATTTTGATTCATTCCCCTGTTTTGAAAGTGTTTTTATTTTCAATATTTATGTTTTTCTATGAACCAATTATATATACATATGAAATTGTTAGAAAAAAGGGTTTTGAAACTTATTTTTTTGATCATCTCCGAGTTTTGTAAGTTTACATTTTTGTCTATGTTCTACAAACAAGGTCTGGTTATGATTTTGATTCATTTCCCTGTTTTGAAAATGTTTTTGTTTTCAATTTATGTTTTTTCTATGAACCATAAATTTAATATATTAACACGCTACAATGAATTTTGTTCTCAATAGTTGCAGAAGAATGTATAGATTAATGTGCTATGAAAAACAATATAAGCTTATTTCTGAGCTCAAATTATGCTTTTTTCTCACCGAAACTTGTGTTTCTCTCCAACAATCCCTCAATCTTTTGTTCGAGAAAAGACGGAAATGATGTAACTTTTCTTAGCTAAATTTCCCTTTTTCTTTTCAACCTTAAAGTTGAAGACTTTCTTACCCATCTTATCTAACATTAACAAATCATCTGTTTACCCTTCTGACAGGAGAGGTATTTAAAGATATTGTGGGTAGTGCATATTATATCGCACCTGAGGTCTTGAAGAGAAAATATGGACCAGAAGTCGATATATGGAGCGTTGGGGTCATGTTATATATTCTTCTCTGTGGAGTTCCTCCCTTCTGGGCAGGTAATTTTTATTTTTATTTTTCTTTTCTTTTCTTTCACTAGACTTTTCTCCATTTTTGTCCCCTTTCCCAATTTTTTTTATGCACCTATGTATTTTTTTTTTTCAATTTTACTTTAACAGAATATGGATAAATGATTGATGACATAAAATTTGACAGAATCGGAGCAAGGCATTTTCAATGCAATCTTGCGTGGCCACATCGATTTTACAAGTGATCCATGGCCTTCGATTTCATCCGGAGCAAAGAGGATCTTGTAAGAAAGATGTTGAACTCAGACCCCAAGCAGCGACTAACAGCATTCCAAGTTCTTGGTAAGTATCATTACATTTCTAAATAAACATAAATTTCTTAGTTTTCTAAATAAACATAAAATTCTCGATTTTTAGATCATCCTTGGATCAAGGAGGACGGAGAAGCACCTGATACACCACTTGATAATGCGGTCTTGGGAAGACTCAAGCAGTTCAGAGCAATGAATAAGTTCAAGAAAGTCGCTCTTCGGGTACTTAAATCTATCCAAATTAAGTTGTCATGTTTGTTAGTTTACATTGAACATTCCTATAGTTTTAGAAGTAGTTTGAAAAATCTCTTCATAAAACATCAAGACAATCATAATGATGGACTACATTCATTAGTTTCAATAAATAGATCATAACAAAGCAATGGATAAACTTGACATCCGTGTTTGACTTGGACTAGGTAGCGTGGTAGGCCATCATAGCACTGGCCAATCCAAGCAAAACACGTTTCCCCTTGGATTTCAGATAACAAATCAAATTTTTTTTTTTTTCTCTCTCTTATTGTTTACTTTTCTTACAACGGAAAGGTTATCGCCGGCTGCCTATCAGAGGAAGAAATCATGGGACTGAAGCAGATGTTCAAAGGAATCGACACTGATAACAGTGGGACAATAACACTTGAGGAGCTAAAGCAAGGACTCGCCAAGCAAGGGACGAAGTTATCAGAATATGAAGTTAAACAGTTAATGGAAGCTGTAAGTTCCCCCAAAAAAATTTTAAGTGTTGATTAATGACACTTGGGGGCTAAGTTTTGAATCTGATCATGTTTTGTAATCATTTTGATGCTTTTGCTTTTCAAAAACAGGCTGATGCAGATGGAAATGGAACCATAGACTACGACGAGTTCATTACAGCAACAATGCACTTGAATAGAATGGACAGAGAAGAGCATCTTTACACCGCATTCCAGTACTTTGATAAAGACAACAGCGGGTAGTTATAATGATGACGATGATGAAGACGACAATATCAAGAACAATCTTGATATTCTTATGGTTACTTGCTGACAATATAATTTTTGTTTTATCAGGTACATTACCATAGAAGAACTAGAGCAAGCACTAGTCGAGTTTGGAATGAACGATGGGAGAGACATTAAGGAAATCATTTCTGAAGTTGATGCTGATAATGTAAGAAACAAAATCAAAACAGAAACAGAAATGTGTTTTTTACTTTGCAGATGGGGTGACATGAGGTGATATAGAAACAGTTTTTAACAAGTAGTTCCAACTGCATTTTTTTCATGACTGTGGCACTCCACAATTATTTATTTATTTTGGTAAATACACCAACAAAAACCTTCATGACAAATGTCTGCACATATAGATATATCTGTACAAAATCCATTTATTCTATATCATAACAGATATATCTATCTGTTAAGATTAAAACCATAGAACTTTTCTCTGACAGAATACATTTGTTTTGTATTTGAACAGATAGATATATCTGTGCAGAGATTTGTTGTGGTTTCTAAGTGGAGATTTAGATATTTGCATTCAGATTACAAGAAAATGCATTAAGATTTATCTTTCTGTTCATACATTTGTTATACAAGAAATGAAACTTGTACAGATGGATATATCTCTTATGGGGGGCAAAGTAATGAATGAAGAGTGAATGTTTGCAGGATGGTCGGATCAATTACGATGAATTTGTAGCCATGATGAAAAAGGGCAACCCAGATGCAGGACAAAATCCGAAGAAACGACGCGATGTGTTTGTTTGATTCTGCTTCGCTGTTGATAGCAGGGAAGAGCAAAGAGCATTATCTCTATGTCACCTCTGAGCTTTTCAATGGTGGGAGCTGGGAAGGTGAATTGAATTGGTGAGCATTTTTCGGATTTGGAAATTTCATGAATTTTTTCAAGTTCATGGACTACCCCTTGTTGTGTACATTACATCTTTCAATGAAAACATTGGCAGATTATAGGTCAGACTTAACAAAGAATTTATTCAAAAGTTGTTTGAGGATTCTGATTTCTGACCGTTCGATGGGTGGTTGGGTTTGTTAGATCATCCTCAGTCGTCTACATTTTAAGCAGTTGTGGCTTGTTGCTATAATGCTTAGGATTCAATGAGGGGTTGGTTGTTCAAATGTATCTACTCTTGTTCAATATTAGAAATAGAATTGTTGCATCTTCTTCTTGTTAGTATAATCTTTCTCAAGCATCTTGTACCTCAACTTTGAAGGGCCTCTCTTCATATTCCCTGCAGTTGTTTGTAAAACACATAATTGTCAGGTGTATAGAATCATAACACAAAAAGTACATTTCGTGGCTCAAATTCAGCCCAAGTATGGTGTTGGTCACACTAAAACAGTAATGATGCAGACCACTAATTTTGGTGCTCTAATAGAGCACTAATGACATGACAATGAACAAAAAAAATAAAATAAAAACAAACCAAGACCAAAGCATCACATCATTATGGGTGAAGCCCACTGCTAACTCATTAGAGCTACCTTTAGAGCTCAAAAATTAAAACTCCAAAGCATTTTTCCACTAAAAAATAGGGATTGAATTCTTTTCGATTGGATGTCACGATGGACTTGGATAGGCCTATCTCAACGATTTAAACCATTCATCCTGGAGGGTTTGTTAATCATAACATTCATGCTCAAAACAAAAATCAATGTAACATACATTAGTAACGCAATCAAATCACATTTTAAAAAAAAATAAAACTTAAATAATCTATTATCAAAATCATACTATTCATTTTTTAAGACCAGATATGTTCCGATAGTTATATCAATATAATTTTTTGCGTTAATGACCTTCTTAGTGGACTATATAAAATGAATGGTTTAACTCACCAAGTTGAGCCCGCCCAACTCAACAAGACCTCTCCAGTTGATACCCAACAAGAGAGAATCCACATAATAAAAATTAATCTCAATAGCATAACGCAATTTCTGCGTTTTAATGTTGCGCACCAAGAATTTTTGAAATTGGTTTCCTGATTCATGTATTTCAAGGAATTGACAATAAAGACCCATGTGGTGATGTGGATGTACAGTCCAAGAACAAGAATAAACAAGAAAATAGATCAATACAACGTTGTAGGTCTACTGTTCCAAATCCAATTCCATTAAACTTCAACTGCATTCCTGTTGATTAAAATAATATCCAGAGTAAATTACTTACTAACCCACAAAGAAAAAAGAAAAGAAAAAAAGAAAAGAAAAAGACATAAAGTACTGCCTACGTTGATCTCAGGAGAACATAACACAAACCCTAAAGGGATCATACAAGGTGGAGAGAGGGGTAGGACTTAGTAACCATTGTAACAGATATGAAATCATTGAACCAAAGAGAATCCGGCGAAGTCATGCTATTGCAGATGAAAACACTGCCTCTAACTTGAATTTGGAACAATAATCCCAGCAGTTGCACATTCAGGATTCTCGAGTCACATTTGGTACCAAGAACACAGGCAAAGGCATCTTCCAAACAAATATCAGAATTGATTATCATGGTTCTCATTCCCGGGGACGAGCAACCCATAGGGAGCTAAGCGCTCGGAGCCGAGTGAAATAGTCATTTATAGCTAGCAGGGCACGAGCTGATTGGCGGGTTGTTAGTACACGGTGCAACTGTTGCAATGTTTGTTGCCGTAGATTGTCAGCCTGATATTGACATTTAGCCTTACATCACTAAAATATTTTTGACGAAGAACAATAGGAAATATGTGGAGAAAGAGAGGGAGAGTGATAGAGAGGATAAGAATAAGAAGCACGGATCTAGGGGACACACAGTTGTCCCACGTGACAGACATGAACACACTCCGAAGGAAGCGTTGCATTTTTTTTAATTATTTTCCAGTTCAACACGCTGGGACACAAAATGGACATGTTGGGGACACTTCGTGTCTCATTATATTTATTTAATTTTTTTCAACAGAGTAGAATACCCTAGGTTTAATGGACTTGATGAGAATAAATATATATATATATATATAATATTCAAATATATAACATAATATGTAAAATTATATGTTTTGCACACATCCCTCACGTGTTGTATCCATGCTTCTTCAGGATAAGAATACAAAGAGCGATGACAATATGCAGGTTGTACATCCTGAGGCCCCTAGTGAACATACAGAAAAACAGAAGATGAGCTTTCCTAGAATGGGTTTGTCTGTTAAGAAATTACCTGTCGAATGAAGCCCTCAAGAGTTCCTAGCTTTCCCATAGCCATAGCCATTTGACCCATGTAGTTTGCTACATTCCCTGATGAACCTGAGGACCCAGGAGGTCCAGCCAACGTCTCAGCCAAGGATTGCTGCAATGCATCCATTCCCTGGGACAATGCATCTTCCGCCTGTTGGGATGATTGCTGCAAGTTGGTGATGTCTGACAACTGCTGCTCGGTTAAAGGCTCCAACTGATGTATAAGCAACTACAACCATGTAGGTTTGAATTTAGAAAAATAAAATACAATATGCAACGAAGTATTAGCAACGGGAAATAATAGAACCACAATGCAAATATGCCCAAAAAAGGTGTTAAAGCAGGTTGACACACAAAAACAAAAAAAAAAAGAAAAAGAAAAGAAAAAGAAGAAGAAGAAAGGTTCAAATTCATGTAATCCCCTTTTTATCAAGTGAAAATAGTTGGAAAGAAACAATCCCAACTTACCTAGTGAAAGTGTGTCCTCAAGGGGGGCACTCAAATTTTCTTTTAATTCACTCTATTTCTTTATGCTTGTTTACATTCAACAATCTTTAGGAGTCCGGATAAATATTTTAGTTATCCGTTAATCAAATTGTTATCATACTTATTTACCACCCCCTAAGTGATCTTCCCATTTATGAACCAAGACCAAATTCTGTCTCATCAGACTGTTCCTTTTAAATCACCCAAGGCCCTAACTATGCCTCCACATTTACAATTCAACTTATATTAAGCATACAACAAGTTCATCATTCATTCAATTAAAAAATCATCACATTCATCTCAATATAAAATCAACATAAATAATCAAATCAGAGAGCAAGTAATAAAGAGATGAACACCACAATTTGTAGTGGTTCAACAACTAGCCTACATCCACCGCAGGCCTCCCTGCCGGCATTTATCCACCAAACGAGTGAGTTTCCACTAGGGAGCTTAAAACCTTTACAACCACTCCAAGGGTTTTCACTAGGATATCCCCCAAACCTTTACCACAATCATACAACACTCATACAATGGATCTAAGCTCACCCAAAATCACAATCTTGGCATTGTTTTGAAGCAATTAGAATGAGGAATAGATAATCTTTAGGATCATTAGGAATATAAAATCTATCATTTGGCCCATTTGGAAACTTCACCCAAGAAACATTTGTAAAATAACCTGTGATTTCTGCAACCTAGGAAGCGCAGCAAAATTGTAACTGGAAAAGAAGAAAGAAGGAAAAGAGGAGGAAGCAAAAGCAAACTTTTACGAGTTTCTGATGTCAGCGAAGACAAATTGAGATAGAGATGAGTGAAGAGAGAGAAACAAGAATGAGCAAAGATAGGCAAAGAGCTTAAAGCTCTTTCAAAACTCGTTAACCTATCTCCAAAGTCATATCTCACTTTTATGCCATGAGGTCTATCAAAGGCTTTCAAAAACCCCCAGAAAGTTGAAATATGGGGGAAAAAATCCTACACGATAAACTAACATGCAATGGCCACACAAATTCCTCTCCAAAACCAAAAACCTTTTAAAGAATAGAGGGATTCCTTAAGTTTACTAATGTAACATAGTTTTCTAAAATAAATCCATTGAGTGTCATATCAGGGATAACCATAACAACTAAAAAGGATCAGAACATACGGTTATCCACCAAATTGTGTTAGAGAGAGAGAGCGAGAGAGAGTTTCACAATATTTCAAAATTTAATATTATCAAGCCAAATGCAAAGTTCAAGCCAGGTGCCTTATTTAAAGGTTTTACGAAACACTAAAAACACATGCTAACCATCGGGAATTAATCCTAGCCAAAACAGCAACATATTTTTTTTTTAATGAATCCAACATAATAACAATATAAAATCTGTGTTCCATTTTAAAAACCAACAAAAAAAGAAAGAAAGAAAACACAGCTCCAGATATCACTCAATTAAATAAAACAAAATTGAAATATCAAGTGGGGTCCAGATGACCATAGAGCAATGTTATCAGAACGCATTTTCAGGGATATTTTCACATTCCACTAATAGATCTCTATAGATATTTTCACTGACAGATCTCTACAATTTTATAAGGGAAACGTAAAATGTGACGCTATACCAATTTATCTGGAGAGAGAGAGGGGGAGACACTTTGTATACCACGGGGTCCTCCAGAATCACTTGCTGAAAAAAATTAAACAAAATATGTCACTCTTACCTTGAGTATTTCAGATGAACGGAACCCACCAAGCCACAAAAAACACCTCTCTGCTTGTGTTTTCCACATGCCTGACAAAATATGGAAGACATCAGCCTTGGCTGCATCACCTTTAATCCTAAAAATGTCATCATAGTGAGCCAATACGCCATCCACAATGATGCGAAGTTCACCATCACCCGCATGGGAGTTCACGGCTCCCCGCAGCTCATTGATTCGTCGGATGTGCTCTTCCAGCCACCGAGCATATTCTACATCAAATGCCAAGGCTCCTACAAAATAATGGGATCAACACTTTGATCTTTATTTTGGGGTGACAATACAAAAGGCGAAGCAAGAATGCTTCTAATGCTCAGGCTTTAATTTGACATGTCCTAGATGATGTAGGGCCCATTTGGGATCTAGGATAATCACATTTTGGTTATTCAGATTTATTGGTTGCTAGTTTAGTTTAATATCTTTTCTAGCCATTTTAGAGGTCAAGGGTTATTTTTTTAATTCCATATTTTATGGACATGGGCAGTAGAGGTTGCCCGTGGGTTGTGCTATGGATTAGATTATGTAATTGGATTTTATTTATCGATCTTATTTGGTCTCAAATAAATTCTACAAGTCAAAAGTTCAGTTTCCTAGTTAAAAGTTTTAGTCCTAGTTAGTGTAAGAGAATCTTCACAGTTGATATAAAGCAGTGAAATGTCTCTAACATAACGGAAATAAGTTTTTCATAGAATTATTCGGACCATTGAAGCCTCTTTCGGTGTGTTTGATGCAATCCTAACCCTAGGTGTGATGCATAAAGGGATCTAGGAGCACATTCATTGGAGTGTGTGCAAAATATGTACGCAGTCTCTCCCTCATGTCAGTCATATGATTTGCCCTAATGTCCTGAATCAACTTTTTTATTTTTTAAAATCACAATACCAATCAAAACGATTTGTATATGAAAATCTTATAAATATACTTGTATAGAGTGCTATCATTAAAAATACATTTTCAATACATTGTAGATCCATCCATGTTTTAGCAAGCTTACCAAGAGAATAGTTTTCATAAAGGAAAGCATCCAAAAGTCCTAATTATAAATGTCTTTGGTGAAACGATGACAAACTAGAGATTAAATGGTAGATTTGATGAAGGAACAATTAATGCCATAATATCGGATATGTTTAGAGTTCCCATATCAAAAGTTGTTGAAGTATACAGGTTCCCAACCTAATATTTTGGAAATTAATATGACCATGATATGTAACAATGTCATGCATACAGAAATTTTTTAAGTTAAAATCATATCTTTATTGCTCGGTCAACAGGTCTTCACACATGTTAGAGCTTTCAAATTGGTAAGATTTATCTGGAAAAAGGCACAATATGCATAACCCAATCTTTTCTCCACTCAGATAATAATTCAGCCCTAGCACAAACCTCAGTTAAAAAAACATGGGAAAGAAGCTGTACAAATCTAAAACTAATCACAAATATAACACCAATTTCCTTTTTCAACAGTGACCAAGTCGCATTCTATACTGTTACAGGGCTATTGTTAGGGACATCCTTGACAAGATAGATTGTTTGAGTACATCAAAGCCACAAGGCAAAAAATGACAATGACCGTTACTGAATTAAAAGTATAAGTGGATCAGATTCTGATATAAAGTCAGAAGGAATTGATTAAACATCAGATATCAAATCTGCTGTCTACACATCAGATGGTCATATACTCCCATATTTTACTATATCAGAGAACTTAAATAGAACAAAAGTTCATTGTAAAATAAAAAAGTTCTCATTAGAAACATAAACATGTTATAAGCAGATTGAATGTTCCAAGGAGATAGTATATACCATTTCCACTCATTGATTGAGATTGGTCCGCTGAACTTGAAATGAAGATGCCCTTCAGCAAATGGAAACAAAAAAAAAGAAAAAAAGAAAAAAAACAGCAGACAGTTGAATAAGGTTTTAGCACTGGACCTGAAAGGGGGGGAAAAGAAACAAAAAACGGATACCAATAAGTAGTCAAACAGAAAACAGACACCAATAAGTAGTCAAATCAAACCTGCTGCCTAGCTCGTTGGAGTTCTTGTTCAAGTTGGGTCAGCTTCATTCTGCTGCTCTCTAGTTGTTGAACATAAGCCTAAAAAATGACAAAGGCACAATTTAATGCAAAAATTAGACATAACTTTCCAAAGAAAACGTCACATAAGGCAGACCAACACAAGATGAAGTATATAAACATGCACAAGCACACTGAACCTTTTTATTTTCTCCATTTTCTTAGCTAGCTTTGTTTGGGCCCTTTGCGGGTTATTTCTTTTTTGTGTTCGTCACATCGTCTTGATACTTTTCTAATAAAGTTTGATTATTTATCCAAAAAAAATAATAAATAATTCTCCATTTTCTTTTCTTTTCTTTTCTTTTTTCTATATTTGTTCCCAAACACAGCCCATCGACTGTTCTCTTGCCCCCCACACCAGTTCCCCTTGCAAGAGTTGAGCCCTGCCATGTCGTATGCAGATTCGAAAAAAGATCCAATTACGCTAACTAGCAAAGAAAATAAAAAGGAAAACTACGGGAAAAAAATACACCTACATATCTATGTATCCTAAATTTATATTCATATATATAGAAAATAAAAATATATAAAAGTTTTTTTTTTTTTTTTTGCCGTATCCCCGCAATGTCAGTGTCCTTGTCCTATTTTTTGAGAATCCCCATGTCACGTGTATGTGCTTCTGAGCTAACTAGCTTGTCGTACAGAATCATATTTCCTGGGTATGCATCGTGTACCACACCAGCTAGTTAGCCTAGAAAAATAATGTATCCATGCCTGTATCATATTTATTACTACTCAGTTCGCATATTCTTTGCTTCACAGATATATTATCTTCTTTTTGTTTAGTTTTAAAATAAAAAATATATATATAAAAAAAAGTAAACTGAGAGAAAAGATCTGGCACTTGTAGATGTGCTCATCCTATTTCAAGGATGCTGCACATATGTTGTTGAGAAGTGCCAACCAAGTGTCTACATCTATGAATTTATGTTGTAGCATTATCGTGTATTGTTTCGGCTTGCATTAATGCAAGTACTTAGGCCTCGTTTGGCAAGAGGCTATTTTAGCCAATTAGCCAAAAAGTTACTAAATTAACCAAAAAGCCAACAACCTATACCAAAAAGTCAAAGATTCTCTTTTCTCTCTACTTTTTGCACATCTTTTCGTAATTAGCCAAAAAGTCATCCCAAACATACAAGTTTTTTTTACCTACCTTTTTAGCCAAATAGCCAAAAAGTTACTAAATTAGCCTGTTCCCAAACGAAGCCTTAGGTCAAAGAAAAACCCAAAAAATATCTCTTTGCATGTTGAAATGTTAAGGTGAGTTTTAATTTGGAGTTATCTAGATAAAGAAACAATGAGTTTCTAATCTTTTAACTGAGTATTATCGATCTCCCATAGCAGGAAAAGTGAAGAGGCAACAAGTACTATATATTAAGCTTAAAACTTTAGAAAGTTTCTGGAATGCTTGATAGAAACGGGGGAAGGGGCAAGTTATACTATATTTAAGCCCATTATGTTTTTATTTATTTATTTTTTTATTATTATTATTATTATTATTATTATTATTATTATAATGTATCATATTACAATGAAAACTGATGAATTACAATCATAATGAAGTCGAATACAACTTATCATTATTACAAAGAAACTGCCAAAGTAAGAGAGTAAAACCCCAAACAAATACAAAAGAAAGGGAGATTCGAACTCTTGACCTCCTAGTGAAGGGTTTTTGCCAAGCTAGCAAGGAAAAAGTTAAAAATAAAGATAAAAAAAAGTTATTAGAGCTATTGAATTTGAAATACTACCAAACTGCACGAATCGGAAGATTTGCATACGATTTGGATAGATTCATTAAAATTAGTTAGATTTGAGTCGCCTGGGGTCCGACTGAATCAAATAGTAAGATACAAATTGTGAATCCTAAGATTCTCACAACTATGCTTCCCCATGCAATTATGTATTGAAAACTATATTCTTTAAATAGAATAAAGAGAAAACCTAGTCTAAAACAGTAAACTGATCTATTATTGCTATCTGTTCTTTAATTATATAGAGCACTCATACCAGCGGATGTAAAGATAAATAAAATTTTTAGAAATTCATCTCTTGAATTTGAATAATTATTTATATAATATATGTTAATTCCTCAAAATATAAAAAGATAGAGGAAAGCAGAGAACATCATTGTACATATTACAAAGAAACTGATCTAAATGATAAATTCTTTGCATAATTTATATCTTCCAAAATAGTTTGCGACATGTCTGGCCTGCACAAAGAAAGATCAAGAGAATCACTAACTTTTAGATTCAGAGGATATTGCACGGGAGAAATACACTGCAATGTTTGTAGTATCTTGCAATAAATTGCACTGTGGCTTCAATTGCAACGCATCCACATTAATCGTGATGCCATATCAGGTTCGTGGATGTCAAAATAATATGCATTATATGTGTAAACCATTCAAGGAAATTTTGGTTGATTCTTGAATATGTACTACATAGAATGACAATCATAACATGTCCAATAATGTCTTGGGATACTGCAAATCAATAAAACCCTGCATTAAATAAATAAAATCACATGACAAGGTAACCTACTTTTTTCCTTAAACGACTCTTTCTAGCAGCTTCGCGATTTTGAGCTAGCCTACGAAGCGTCTGCAAAATAATTTTTTTAGCAAGCAAATTAGAAAGAAGACAAGAAACAACTCAGATGTTATACATATTATACATTGAAAAAAAATAGTTATAGATAAATATAACCTTTTGATCCCTTGACTTGTCACTGGTGTCGGAACCCAACATTGCTAGGGATTGATCACTTTGAAACTGTACCCATGAATGTCGAATATCAGTATGATATCAAAACATATATCAGTGAGTTGTCATAATTCCCAACAAAGAGGGTTCAAACTGAAGTTTAGAACAAACATTTAGGTACGAATTTGCAACAAACTTTTGAAAAAAAGTATAGGTTAGAGAAATCACCCTCATATTTTTATCATCAGTGTCCGCATCTGTTGAAGTATCAGTCCTAGGACTGATATCTGCCATCTTGGACTCTCCTTAATCCTTAAAACAACCACTATTCAAACCAGATTTGGTTGCTGACTCTTCTGTGACAAAAAAACACTTACTGAGATACTTATGCTTAGCTTTGACTGGGTTGAGGGTAATCATAAACAGAAGAGTATATGTATGTCAGTCTAACATGGAAAAAAAAAATGAAACTTGAGCTTAAGCTTGAACTTGGAATTAATTTTTGAAGCAAAACATATACAAAGAATTATGCATATAATAACCCAAAACTATATACAGAGAATTATGAATTTAAGACAAAACCCTTTTAAAGGAATCCTTGAACATTAAAATTTCTTCCACTCTGCAAATATAAACATATATGTGTAAATACATGGGGTTGGGAAGTAAATGAATCAAACCCCAGTTCAATTGCAACTAAAAAACACTTACTGAGATACTTATACTTAGCTTTGACTTGGTTGAGTATAATCATATATATATGTATGTATGTATGTCAGTCCAAAATGGAAAAAATCAAATAAAACTTGAAGCTTAAGCTTGCAATTAATTTTGAAGCAAAACAGATACAGAGAATTATGCATATATATAATAACCCAAAAGTAAATACAGAGAATTACAAATTTGAGAGACTAACCCTTTCAAAGAAAACCTTTGAACATTGGAATTTCACACACACACACACATATATATATGTATCAAATCATGGGGTTGGGGAAGGAATTGAAGAACTTACAGTGAATAAGAAAAGGGTAATCGAGAACCAAAGCAATGAAACAAGCCCTCAACTTTCAACAAATATTTTTTTTTCCTGTACCATACCAACACAACTTTCGCTTCACTGTTCTGTTCGGTTGAAGAATCCAGAAACGAGTGAGTAATCAATCACAGCCACAAACAAGCTTCAAGAACTCACACACACACACACACACACCAAACACAGCAAGCAATTCGAAGGGAAATAGGGGTTTGAAACGCGGATGACTCTCTTCCTCAGTTCGACACACAAAAAAACCCAATTTTGACTTTTTGCTCACTCGATATTCCCTACGGTTCGTGCAGTTAGTAACGTATTATCCACTACGGGTAAGGCTTGATTTGGGTAGGCGATTATAAGCAGCGTTTCAGCGTTTTGTCTAAAGCCAAACGTGGCTTTTTTTTTTCAGAAACGCATTTGGGAAGCTGTTGAAAACGCCAGATCATAGTTTTGTCTAAAAGTTGCTGAAATTACAAGACTGTCCTCCGTGTTTACAACTTGAGGGTAGGAATGGCAACGGGATAGGGTAAGGCAGGGCCGGAGACTACACTCTCCGTCTCTGATCTCTGATAGTGAGAAATTTTCCGTCTTCGGCCCCGATCCCCGACAAGGGCCCCATCGCCCCCCTGGCCCCGCCCCAGATTGGGGATCGAGTATCCCCGACCTCGCAAATTCCACGATTTACAATTTTTTTTTTCCAAAAAAAATTTAAACATCCTTTTAAAAGAATCTGTAAATATTTTAAAATTAAAAGAATCTGTACATATTTCAAATAATCAATACTTATTTTAAAATTAAAAAATGTTGTACATATTTTCAATAACATAGCATAATTTGTAATCTTGACAATACAACCATTAAGGGATTCTATCAAGCTAATCTGTAAATATGAACTCAATAGCATAGCATAATCTGTACATATTCAATAGCATATCATAATCTGTACTCAACAAGTTATCTGTCAATAGCATAGCATAATCTGTACATATTCATGCTATCTGTCAATATGAACTCAATAGCAATATAATCTGTACATAGCATAATTTGTCAATATGAACTCAATATAATTTGTCAACATAATATGTCCAACATATTCAAATAGGATAGGCTACCCAAAAAATTCAACATGTTGACAGATTCATCCGGCAGCTATAATCTGTCAACTGAAATAGCATATTCAGTCCAGCAGCCCACAAGAAGAAAAATTCAACAAGTTGCAAACATAATAATTAGTCCCAAGCATAGCCCGTATGGGATAGGCTACCCAAAAAATAAAATTAAAAAAAAATTAAAAAATCCATTACAATATAAAAAATAAGATTGTCCAATACAACTTTCATCATCTTTCAAACCACATTACAACTTTCATCATCTCCTTCAACTTGAATTCCTATGAAATAACAAAAAGGAAAACAAAAATAATCAATACTATTAATAAGATGTAAAATATGTTAACAATTAAAAAAAAAAATGACAACTAACACAAAAGTGGCACACGACTCATCCGACTCCATCATCATCATCATATATAGTCACGTAACCCACCGATTCCAATGTTGAATTTCCTAAAAAGTAAAGAATATAAATTCAATATTAAAATTATTCCATGGTAATATAAAAGTGAAATAATAATATGTAGATTGGATGAAATAATAATATGAATGCCTTTCATCTCTACGCTCCACAACCAACTTTGCGCGCGCATTAATGCTTCTAATGTGTTTAGATGAAGTCTACTATGATGTGGACTCACCAACCTTCCACTAGTACTAAATGCTGACTTAGAAGTAACAGTGGATACAGGAATAGCTAAAATATCCCTAGCTATTGCCTGTAAAGTCGGATACTTTGGTTCATTGGCTTTCCACCAATTCAAAACATCAAAACCTAAAGTTCTTGATAAAACATTATCTTCTAGACAATGGTCAAACTTTGATCTTACATTCTTCATTTTTTTACTTCTCTTCCTACTAATAAACAAGTCATAATCTGAAAGGGTCTCTGTAACAATTTCTGGATAACTAGAAGAGTCACCAACAACATCGGTCTCCTTACCAACTCGGTGCTGATACTCTTGCAACAAATCTGACAAACCCTATCAACTTCATCTTCAGCTTTGTCTCCATAAAGTTTTTCAAAATAAAACTCTAATACACTCATTTTATACCTAGGATCGAGTACAACAGCAACTCCAATAACACCATAACCAATATTTATCAAAATTTTTCACTATTTTTGATGCCATTGTTATAATCACTTCAATTTCACAAGAGAGCCATTGAAACAATGTCATCTTAATCTCACATAAAGCTGGGAAACAAACATTGGCAGCGGAATACTTAGTACCAGAAAATAACTCTGTGATAAAAAATATATATCTTAAACTTCTCACTAATCTCTCTAGCAAACTCTCATTATTCCTCACTTGGCACGGTCTTATATTGGGGTTCTCTATTTTTCAACCGGGAAAAAACATCCTTATACAATAAGACAGTCTGAAGCATCAAATAGGTTGAATTCCACCTAGTTGCACAATCAAGTCCTAATTTCTTAGTATGTGGATTACGCAATTGATCGACTATTTCTTCAATTTTTTCTTGCCGTTTTGGTGCTGCTGTCCAATAAACTACATACTCTCAAATTTTCTCCACACTCACTCGCATGACATCCAATCCGTCTTTGACAATCAAATTCAAAATATGCGTACAACAACACATATGAAACAAATTACCACCCAACAAAAGCGAGGTATTACTCAACTTATCCATCGACATAGTAATCATGACATCATTTGTAAAGCAATTATCAACAGTAACAGTAGAGATTTTTCTATCAATATTCCAATCCATCATACATGCAAGCAAAGTATCACAAAGAACTTCTTTTGTGTGTGGACATGGAATATAAATAAACCTAAAATATAATATTCATGAACAAGTATTAATAATATGCAAATTGAACCGAATAAGATAGAACTGTTAAAAGATTTACAAATTTACAAACTCAATGCAAATTTACCTCAAAATACGACCATGCAGTGTCCATGAATCATCAATAAAATGTGCGGTGATAGCCATGAATCTTTTCTTTTGATTGCTAGCAGTCCACATATTAGTTGTGATTGTCACCCTACTTTTAATATGCTCTACCAAACTCAATGTCTTCACCCTCTCATAATCATAAAATTTTAAAATATCACTCTTTATCGTATTTCGAGAAGGTACTTTAAACAATGGTTGAAGTGCTACTGAATATCGTTTAAAACCAACATGATCTACGATAGAGATGGGGTATTTATGCAATATTATGGCATGTGACAACTCTTTCCTAGAAAAATCTTGATCAAAAATATAAGAATTCATTTTTGGACTCTCTCTATTAAAGTTGTTAGTTAAAACTTTTTGCCTCATGTCCAACACTTTTTTCCTAGTGCATTTCTTAAAGTGATCATACAAATGTCTAGTTCCATTTTTTGAATCACCTCCAAGATGCTTATTACAATAATTACATATTGTCTTCCACACCCCATTGACTTGTTGTTTCTTAAAGTGTTCCTACACAACACTAGTTTTCCTTTTAGTTCCTGCACAAGTATTAGACTATTCTTCTAAGTCAATAATTGTAACAACCCTCACCACTGTTTGCCGATTAACCACTGATTACTGCTAAACTGAGACTGATTATGATAAGTAATTGAATCGATTGAAATACTGAACTGATCGATTGAATGTGCTAGTTTAAATGCATATCTATCTGTTGATTGTTAAATTATCTGTTTATGTTTTATGTTTTAAACTGCAAATTGAAGACCTTATCGGCGACTGAATCTGAAATTGATTGATGATTTATGATCATTAGAATTTATGTGATTTTATGGCGTATTTAATTAAAATGTGATTTGGTATGATTAAATTAGATTAAAATAAGCTAAATTGCATAGTTGGCTCTAATTACCAAACTACCACTTAGTGGGCCAAGTCTTAAGCCTTTAGTGATTCACATATGTGAGCCTTAACACATTTCATCAGCCATTTGAGAGACATAAACCGACTATAGAGAGAGAGGGACCTAGAAGAGTTGGTTTTCATTTTGTTTTGCTCGGTTTTGCTTGGAAATTAAGAAGATTAAAGGAGTTCTTACTTGATTAAGCTTCTAGACTTGTGATTGGGGGACCCAAGGTAGAAAATTCAACCTTTTATTGATGTATTTAAGATTGTTCTTGCATGGTTCATGGTCTATTTGAGGGTGAAGTCTAGAATTGGTGCTAAATTATTGAATAGAAGCTTAATCTTTGCATGCATGCTTATATCCTAGCATTTTGAGGTTGAATACATGGAATTTGGTACATGCATGTTTATATTTGTGCATTGGACCATGAACTCATCTTGGTTTTGGAAAGAATTGGCTCAATTGAGCTAACATTTGAAGCTTTAAAGTTGTTGAATTCATGCATGTTCCACATTCATTATCTTCTTGAAAGTTTGGTTTGAATTGGGTTTAATTCCCTCACCTTTGGGCCTTGATTTTACAAATTGAGCTTTAAATCATGTCATACTATGTATTTGCAAGTGTTTTTCAAGAAATGGGCCCAAAAGAATCGAATTTGATGTTGAATTTGAGCTTGAGATTCAAATATGGGAATTCCAAATTTTGAGCTCACGCTCGAGCGGGGTGACTAGCGCTCGAGCGTGAAATTCGTGCTCCCAGCACTTTGCACTGTTTTGAAGTCCGCTCGAGCGGAAGAATTGACGCTCGAGCGGGTGTCGAGCATCCAATCGAGCGTGAATTTCACCTATCCAGCACTTTTGACTGTTTTGCAGTACGCTCGGGCGAGTAAGTCTGAGCTCGAGCGGAAACCTTTGTCTGCATGCCCGCTCGAGCAGAGTAATCGACGCTTGAGCAGGACCCCTATTTTCTGAAAATCCTAAAAATACTTTTAAAGTGCATCTTTGCATCCTCATCCCATCCTAGGCATTCTTAGGCCTAGTTAAGGCATCTTAATGAGGATATTGATTAAGAACCACACCGAGTCAAGATAGAGATTAAGTTATATTTTTCCAACTGCATAGCTTAGTGTGTGTTCACTCTGTAACTGTGTAGGGTTGGCATTTGAAGATGCGCTCTAGCTTATCTGTAGCCCAGAACTCTGTGAGTAACAACTGTGTAAAGATATGTTCAAATATGATTATCTTCTGAACAATTGAACTGTACTGTTTTCTGAAATGATACTGTTACTAAATGAATGATGTCCTAATTGTGAACTGTATTGTGGCATCCTTAGCAATTACTGTTACTGTTACTATTACTGCTACTGTTACAGAGATC